TATATATATATATATATATATATATATATATATATATATATATATGTATGTATGTATGTATGTATGTATGTATGTATGTATGTACGTACGTATGTATGTATGTATTATTATCATTGTTAATCATTTATTTGACTATAACTATTATTCCATCATTTTATGTGAGGCATTCAACATTTTGGATTAATTTATATTATAACATTCAATACCCCATCATAAATCCATCCGATAATAATACATCCTTATGTTATATCCTGTATAATTCTATTATCCTTGTATTGTAAAGTTATCTAAGATATATAATTTCCATATATTTTTTATCTAACCATTGATAAAATAAATCCTATATCTTGTAATATTGTTTATCTTCTTGTTCTCTAATTTCAAATGTCAATTTACTCATTTCAGCACATTCCATTATTTTCTTAATGACTTCCTCCTGCGTTGGTATTTTCTCATTTTTCCAATTTTTCACTAACACAATTCTAGCTGCTGTTAATACATTTACAATCAAATATTTCAATTCTCTACTATATATTTCTGGTAAAATGCCCAATAAATTGTCTAAGTGAGTTTTGCTTTGCCCCATTTTACGACACTTCTCACCACCGTGGTTAAACAAGTCACTGCCGTTGCTCAGTTAGTCACACGGGTGATCCCCGGGCCACCATCATAAATATGAGTCAGTTGACCTGTGTCTGAATTTTGATCATGTCACCGCGGGGATGCTTTCGTAAACGTGAAAAATGGTCGTCACTTTTCTCAGTGCCGTTGTAACTTTGAACAGTCACTAAGCGACTGGTCGTAAGTCAGAGACAAACCTGATCTCAGAATCGCTTTGAATTTTGTTCTCACACATAGATGATTTCTCAGTCAATGACCTGTCTGGATAGTCCTAGACTTACAACAGTTAACTTAGTGACCGTTACAACGGCACTGAAAAAAGTGAGTTATGGCCGTTTTTCACACTTACGACCCATCAGGCAATCAAAATTCAGACGCCTGTCAACTGACTCGTGTTTATGACGGTCACGGTGTCCTGGGGGGAAGGGGGTGTCACGCGATCTGCGGCCTTAGGACAAGCCATGTCCGTGGGGAAGCCACATACCAACTGTGTGACTAACTTAACAGCCGCAGTGTTTCACTGAACAACTGTGGCCAGATAGGTCGTAAAGCAGGGCGGAATTCACTGAACAACTTAGCAACAGAAATGTTGGGCTTAATTGTGGTCGTTAAGGGGAGGATTTTACCTGTGCAATGTCTCCTGTGGGCAAGAGACCCACCTTCTTGGGGCCATCTGCTCGCCACAAACCCTCCACACCTTGGGTCTGGGGCACAAACCACGACTTACGGGCAGGGGTGGGATTCCACTGGTATAACAACCAGCTCAGGGATCGTGCGCATGCACTCTGCGTTTAAAAAAGGCAAGCCCATACTCCCCTTCAGCTGCAGCCTCTGTAAAGAAAACAACTGAGGCGCAGCAAACCGCTCTGCCGCGCGACTCAGCTGTGCTCTAAATAGAGGCATAAAAGCACAGGAAAGCGCACTTCCTCGTTGCAGCGAACCAGTTGGGAGCGACGGATCAGAGCAACGGATTTGCCTGAACCGGTAGAATCCCACCCCTGCTTATGGGACCGTGTGTCATTCCCCTACCTGGTTCAGCGGCCTGAGGACTGACTTCCCTGTTCTGGCAGTTGGGCAAGTTGAAACCATTGGACAGGTGGCTTGCCACGACCTCTGGGGCGGGGGTCTCTGCCTGCGGGACCAAGAGAGAGGGTGGTTGGTCTGCTGGCCAAAAGGCCCCCTAGCTCCTCCACACAACTTCTTTGCCTTCATTAACAGCCAGGCCGAAGGAAGAAACGCAAGCAGATTTTGTACAACTTCAAACCCAACCAGAAATTGGAGGAGGAGGAGGAGGAGGAGGAGGAGGAGGAGGAGGAGGAGGAGG